CCATAAATCATGCACTTTCTGAGATAAGTTCAAATGAATGTAATTAATTAATTACGAGCGATTTCAAATATTTATCATTATTTATATATAACATGATTTATGTTTAGAATTTGATTAAGAAATATGGATACACTTAGAAAAGCCTCCCTGAATAGTATTTTATTAAGTAGCTATTGGTAGGCTTACTTATTTTTGCAATCTATTTTATTTATTTCTTCGTTATCAGATTTTATGTAGTCGTATTGGTTATAATATTCCTCTACTCCGCACGCTGGCTCCACTTCAATGACAAGTAGTCTAAGACGGGACTATCGGGACACGGTTTAATAATAATATACAGCGTGTCGTTACCACCGCGACAATAAATGAACACACATATAGAGGATAACTTTTTTAAATTGTATTAAATATTTACATTCTTTAAAAATCAATATTTACAGACTTATTAAAGTTTCCAAAACAAACAATTTTAGAACACCCTTACGTATAAAACTGTAACGTAAAGTTCATTTGTAAAGGTCACAAAGCATATGAATGGGTTGAATGAATTTAAAAGAGACAAAACATACTGTTAGAAGGAGAGGCTTGTAATGCGACGCTGTGGCGCGAGTTGTAAAGAATTTTACAAATTTTGTTCCTTTTTTACTTAATTAGTTTGAATGAAAAATATTTTTTTTTAATTATGGATTTTGTTTAACTTTAATATTTTTTTATGATTTGTCAATACTCAGGCGTAGCGTTACACGTGTGTTCATTTATTGTCGCGATGGTAACGACACGCTTTATAATCAACCCAAATGAAAACTCGTAAAATAGCCGTACACAAAATAAAATTACATCGTCCACATTAAAAAAATGTTCATAAAAAACAAAATAAATATTTATTCATTCATTCATTCATTCATAATATTCAGCGCTTCTAATCCATCTAATCAAAGACAGAATCCACATTCACAAAATCTTTATTTCCCAAAGATGGTCTCGCATACTCACGTCCACTAAACCACCACATCTCACCACCCATCAAAAACCCACCCATTAAGACAAATCAAACTCGACGCAGTTGTGTTCCTTAATTACTGAGTTAGGAACTTTCAATAATATATATAATTTGGCCACATTCCAGCCCTGTCATCAGACCCTGTTACCATCTAGCACCAAAGAACACGTCATAGCGAATCAAACGAGCCGAGACACAATAGGGTTGCGTCGTATCTTTACTGAGTTCATATGACTGTCTTCCAACTCCATCATCAGATAATGGTAACCATCTAAAAATTAAGTACTTGCCAAGACGAATCAAACGAGCCAAAACTCGATGGGGTTGAGTCGTTTCATTACACCTCACAGAAGATCGGTGTAAAGTACTTCTGCGATTTGTCTGGTGAGTGAGGTAGCTGGAGCCCACTTTATTATACGGAGAAAACGCATCAGCAACCCTATGCATATGTCCATGGACGGCTGAAGATGGAGCTCTATCATCAGACCCTGGTTACCAATGAAAGCGAAACTACTCGTCAATAATATTCAAATGTACCCAAACGCGCTGAGGCTCTGTGGTTTGATTCGAAGTTCCTATGGCCTTCCTTCCAGCTCCAACATTAGATCAGCACCTTGTCATAAAAATATTGCATTGTCTCGCGATTTACACATGTATACAAAATTTCAGCTCAACCGGTAACCGGGAAGTAGATCAAATTTAATTTGCAAGATTTGAATTGATGATTTAAAATTAAAATATTGCAAAAATGTTCATAAAATGAAAACTACTTGGCCAAACTATGGTAAATTTTTATGGGACCAAATGGCAACTATTCTGCATCAAACTAAAGAAGAATCACGTAAATCGGATCATATATCTCAACGTAATCGGTGTATATACATCGAAAAAAAAAAATACCAATCGAATCAAACTCTTCTTTTTGAAGTCGGTTAAAAATATTATATTATTTAATTAAATATTGAAGGTACTTACATAAAATCTATATTGTGGCAAAAATATATTAAAACATTATGTTTAACAATTTTAATTAGTGGTCCACCTAGGTCCTAGACTCAGCCCAGGGGGAGGTCATGACCCCCATGACCCCCCCGCCCTGGATCCGCCCTTGCCCACACGCACCCTACTCGCTTGTACAAGCTGCAAATAGTACAAAATAAGTTCATCCGCCGCGCAACCGGTGCGCAGTGGTACCAACGCAACGTCGATCTGCACAGCGATTGCAGACTCCCGACGATTCGCGAATATTTTAAAGACCTGACCAAACGGTTCTTCGATAGAGCCGAACATCATCCCAACCCTCTGGTGGTAAGCGCAGCAAATTACCAACCCGACACAAACGCGAACGTCAACAAGCGTCGCCCGCGAAACGTCCTCATCGATCCGGTCGAGGAAGGGGACTTAGATACGCCGGACCCACCGCCGGGGTCCCGCCGGATAACACTACACCCACAGCTAGTGTAACAACAAACACAATAGTTCGCCCTCGCCTCCGAGCACGGCGAGACCAACACAACGCGTACACAAGGTACACCCGCGTTCCAGGGCGGTTCTCACCGCCCCTAGCCACCGATTAGCCAAAAACACAGTCGACGGCCATCGGGGTCTCGGTCCGCACCGCAACTTCGATGGCCCTTAGATGACATGTCGTAGTTAATTGCACGCATGAGCACATGCGCGGCCCTACCCACAGCGGAGGGCCCAAACCCGTGGGTACTGGCTAGCCCACCGGTTCTGCGTCAGATGAAGCTTTAATAGTCTCGGGACTGAAAGTAAAAACAACAGTTAATACAAGATACAAGATAGAGCGTGTTGGTACAAATTCAACAAATTAACTATAAAAATGTCCTGATTGTTGATGTACTTAACAAACAAAAATTCATTTTTCTTTTATTTGATTGTATTTAGTACTATTAATAAAAATTGTGCTTTGTTCGATTATCGGCAGAAATAGAAAAAGCAGTTCATGTAATGAGCCATAAATCGAAAGTGGTACGTTTTACAAATAAGTTTATGGGAAAAAAAGTGGTTTTATTTTCTACAATAATGGTTCTTACCTTTGCTTTAAAAAAGTACATCGTTTCCGAGTTATCGGACACAAAGTTTTTTCAAGATGGCCTCTGAAGCTCCACCGGAATCTGGCAGCAATTTGTGATTTTATACAAAGTGATCCTAAACGTTATAAAATACAAAAAATTGATTGATAGTTTGGTGCAAAGTTGACCAAAAAAACGCCTATTTTTTACCTGCAATGGTCACGAAGATATTGAATAAAAACTATGTACAGTATAAGAAAGACATATTAAGATTTCTTAGTTAATCCACCAAATGTCATATTGTATTAAATTATACACATTATTATTTATTATCTTATTTTATTTTTAATCTTTTCATGGCTGAATTTACTTTGCCTGGTATCTCATGCTAATGTGCGCTTTTGTTATAATCTACCGCGTATTTCGGGATGACATATCCAATTTTCCGAGTACAGTCGCATGCGGTCAGCATAATGCTTTGCCTAACGTTTTCGAACATAATACATCAGAACTGGTTTATGGTAGCATTGTGCATTGAATGAAAGATGTTGCTCTAATATTTTTTAGAAAAAATAAATTAAACTCAAAATTAAACTGTGAATAAATATTTTAATGGCTGATTAGTGAAAAGTTATAGTTTTATAATTGTAATGTATCTTCAATAACATAAAGATAATAATTGAAGTTATAAATTATAGGACAGTTTTTCCATTTTAATAACGATAAGTTGCTGTAGTGAGGCAAACACAAAAATATATAAATAGTATTATTAATTTTTATTAATTAGTAAGACTATTTAACAGTAATTAAATAAGATATATTGTGATAATGATAATAGTGTAATAATTAACTAGTGTGCTAATATTTACAAGATTAAATCTATCTAAAATTACATATTATCTAATAAACCTAATCCACGCGGCATGGTGCCAAGAACGCTAGCTGCATTTCCTCGCTGAATAGTTATGCTTAACCTTTGCGCGAGAAAAGAACCAGCTCTCATAATTAATATATTTGCTCACAGTGATACCTTATGACCCAAAGACATGACAATTACAACAATGTGAGTTCAATGTACCGACGGAGGAAATTTACTCTACCAGTGGTGTGACTGGATGGTAAGACGATTTCGTAACTTTCTCTCACGGAAGATAAAATGCAAGACTACTGCGTAATAAGAAGTGTCTTGCATTATTAGAACCCTCTTTTTCTTTGTCACATACAGGGGGGGGGGGGGGTTTAATCTTATTATTTTTTTTCTTTCTCTCTATCTGTGAATATGTTTTAATATAGCTATGTTGTAAATTAAATTGAAGTTGATTACGTTAAAATATGTAAGAAGAAATATTTTTTTTGAATTGAATTCAATTGAAAACCAGCCAAGTGCGTGTCAAACTCGCGCACGAAGGGTATAAATATAAAAAAATATGTATGTTGTATGGCCGCCTTAAATATTTTTTTATTTCATTCTGTGTAGTATTTGTTATAGCAGCAACAAAAATATCCGTGAAATTTCAACCCTCTAACTATCACAGCATACAGCCTGGTGACAGACGGACATAAAGACAGACCAGCCGTTTTACTCTTTGGGTAGGGAACCTTAAAAACCAACAGAACGTGAAGTACAGGATGAGGCTGCTCCATAAATTCGCGTTGAGCAATATAAGGTCACCCGTGCTTACAAATGCAAATAGATCTGAAACAGTTTATATTCAAGCGTATAACTATTATCGACAACGTATCTATGTCATATATATAAAAATATGGAATTTCACACATGTTCACTTATGCAACCTGTTTTTTCTATAACAGTGAAACCCATTGGTGAGGTAAATTATGAAAGAGGTTATCGATTTTAAATCCATTTTATTACTAAAAATATCGCACCACCGTCGAGGGTTTATTTATTTTATTAACATTTGTTTGTACTTTCAGATATTATAGTTTCAATCAATGTTCAATCATGTTTTAGACTTCAAGTTATCACTGTTTTGTTCGATAATACCTTTTCTAATAGCTCGTCTTCTTGCATGGGGTCCAGCTGGTCTTATTAATTGTTCTTGTCCAGTTTCTAGTGATACCTAAATGAGATCGGTAAGTTTTAAATACATGAAATGTCAGCTATTAAACAATGCAATTTTATATGTCCTTACCCTTTTTCTTAAAGGAACATTGTTTTCTAAAAATTTATTAACGGCCCCAAGAGTATTAATAGGTATCTAAAAAAGAAAATAACACGTTAACAGAGGCGTTTTAAGTTTTCATGGTTTGCAAAATATTTTTTGTCAAACTTTCGACATGTATTCTATGTGTATTGATGTATGAGAAGAAGGTTAGGATGATGAAATGGTAGTGTTCAAAAGATTTAGCAACAAGGCATAAACCCCAAGGGTATGAGTTGTTTTCAGCTAGTTCAAATTTGGATAGTTATTTTGCCAAAAATATGCGCATTATACACGAAAAATCAAGCTATGCACCATGAACTTACAGCTAATATGTCATCAAGCAATTGAGACGCATTCGGAGTCTTTACCGAGATTTGCGTATCAGATGATTTGACAGTGGGTGAAGATGCATGTTTCGTTGAAGCGGAATCTATGTCTGCAGAAAATGAAACTTTGTTTACATTCATATCACAAATCCATAATAATAATAATATATATCTATCTATTAAAACTCATAATTATAAAACTAAACTTATAATATAAAATTTTATACCTACTTGCATAAATTATTACCTATTTTCAGTCATCTTTATATAATTGGATATTACTTTCTTTGAAAAATCATAATAAAAATATTACTCGAATATGCGTACATAAGTACACACATAATAATTTTAAAACAAGTACAAATAAACAGTTTAGCTTTAAAGCGCTTTAAAATGTAAATAACCACCTGAATGTATAGAAGCTGACTTCTGTACAGACACACTTGTATTACCAGCTGTATTTGTTAAAAATGTTCTTACAGCAGTGAGTGCTGCTATAGGTATCTGGAAAAAAATATAAAATTGTTACAGCAATATCAATTATGTTTCTTGTTTCCAAAACATCAAAAAATTGCTCACATTGAAGATATCCTCAAAAAAGTGTGGGTTTCTTCCAACGGTTACATCTTTTTTGTAAGAAATTTGATCCACCGATTTGATGTTAGACTGTGCGTCAGTTTTACTATCATGTCCGATGTGTCCATTATCAATTGTTGATCCACCAGTGAAGGAAGTTTTTTGGAAATGATTAAATTCCTTAACATTAACTGATTCTTCTACGTCAAGTGTTTTTTGGTTCTGTAAATAAGTTGCACGATTTAAATGTAATAAACAAGTTGTTTATAACATTAACAAAGTTACCTAACAATAACTTACATTATGTACGAAGTTCACGAATTTGGGATTTATTTAGAAACGTAAAACAAAATATGATCCACACACTTAATTCTTTATAAAAACTAGCTGTTAAACGGGTCTTCACCCGCGCGGTCAAAGGGAATTAACAATGAGTTTTTTATTATACACCAGAATATCTCGCAGATGGCAGAATTATTTTCTACTTACTTGTTATTTTTTGGATAATTTACATAATATCTTTATATATTATAGCCTATGTGTTATTCTGGTGTAATAGCTATATTATTGTAAGGTTGCATTAAAATCCATTCAGTAGTTTTTGTGTGAAAGAGTAACAGACATCCATCCATACGTACAAACTTTCACGTTTTAAAAATTATAAATATAAATATTATAGCAAGGAGTAAGAATAAATTAGTGAGTGTTTTGGTAAAATACGGCACTTTTTAATCTACTGTATGGTTCAAATATTCTTAAAGACTATATACCATTACTTACTTCTGTATTTGTGTTTATTTGATTAATGTTTGTCTTTTCAGAAGATTTTTGTAGTTTTAAATCAAATGAATTTCCTAATTGTGGATTCAATTCATTTGTATCTTCCGTTTTTAAGTCAAATGGAATATTTTGATATGTGCCTTTTTTTGTAGACCCATCAACTTTACCAATCTGAAATAAAAACATTTTTTAAGAAATGATGATTTTTGTAATCTATTATCATGCAATGTTTAAACATCACCACAACCAATTTCACGCTACAAAAAACATACAGACGTGCTTTTTATTTGAAGGTCAAATTTAAAAACATGCTTATAATAATGCAGTTTGTTACCTTAAGTTACACTTATTTTCAATGATTTTAAGGTATATGAAATAAATAAGTGTACACCGATTATATATTAATCATAATATATTAAACAAATTGTTAATCATTATTATTGTTTAATCAATTAGTTTTGCTTGTGTTATGTGAGGATCAGAATAAAAAAACTAAGAAAAATTATATGACAAAGAACTTTGTTGACGACAAAAGTTTCTTTTCTTGTTCGCGTCTTTCTTTCTTTAATTGTTTTCTCTTAAGCCTTTCTTCCTGTCTTCTTTCTTTTGCACTTTTTTCATCACCTACCAGGCTGGTTGAAGAAAAATGATTTCCAGCTTGAGCTGATGCATATCCAGTTCCAGCTGATGTGCCTCCATTGGTACCTCCAGCTAAACCAGCAGCTGCTCGAACATTTCCGCCAGCTGTGGCTCCGGCATAAAGACCACCTAATCAAGGATCATTTTTATATCATTGTGAATGTTTATGATTGTCGATGATATTGACATGCCTAAGGTTAGACTAGCAAACCAAAAAATATTTCTCGTGAAAATCCGGAGAGGAATATCTGATTTAAGATCTATACTCTTGTCGCGTGTAACACCCTAAATAATCATGTAACGAAATTGGCGGCAGCCAAAAATAAGGAATTAAGTGATTATATTTTTCGGAATTCAGTCGAGACTACCTTTACGAACTACATTTTAGCTACACATTGAACTTCCTTTCATAAATACTTCCACTATCACCCCGTTTTCATCTTAATTGGCTAAAAGTAAAGTTAATGAACAGCCTATACATTTCCCACAGCTGTGCAAAGGCCTCTTCCATATAGAGGGTATTAGGGCATAGTCCACCACGCAGACGCCACTGCGGTTGGCGGATTTCACAAATGTTCGAAATTTTTTTTTTATTTTATTTCTTAAATATCGAAAATACAATCTAAGGTTGCTCCAGTAGGTATATAGAATTAAAGGAAAGCGCCCGGACACTGACTTATTACGACTCTATTTTTGAATGCCTATTGAACATTAATAAACTAACTTGCGAATTATCTATGATTATTTTATTTTGAGGTTAATGAAATTTAAAATACTTTTGCCTTTATTAAGAAATTTGCGTACCCGATGTTCCACCGTTAGCGTCCACGGCACCGCCTAATCCAGCTTTTGCAGACTGGCCATGTGGAGTACCGGCTTCAGCAAATAGCCCACCATTAGCTCCGTTCCCTTTTAACCATTTTATTGTTATTAAAACGCTATAAATTAAAATTAAAGGATGTCTTTTATTAATTTCAACACAAACGTATGTATTCCTTTAGCAGCCTCATTACGATGCTGAGGATATATAAAAAGGTGTGTAAGTTGATAAATAGTACTAAAAAATATAATACAAATACAATGTAGATCAATAACAAATGATACATGATACAAAAAATACTTTATAATGTCCCTTACCTTTTCAAATTAGAAGTAACATAACGTCATAATTTTATTATATTAATAGCGAAATATTACAACTGGAAGATGTTTACCAATTAATCAACAACTAGTAACAATTTAAAGGAGCAGTTTTGTATTTGATATTTGAAAAAGCGTTTTAGAAATAGTAATTGTAACCGACAAATATCCACTTAGGAAATCATAATCTATTATAATTTGCAGAAAAAAGTACGGAAAGTATTTCTAAAACAACTTGTTGTTTTTCTAAAAAAAAACTTTTCGTACTTAATTCTATTAATGTTTAATCTTAAGTGCAGAGAATTTAAATCATAATCGAAACAAAAATCAAAAGTTATTTTTACGCCAAAGAGCTTTCGAGTAGTTTTTTTGAAGGTTTTAATATTAATACACATAATTTGCAGAATTTTTTGTTATTTCAATATAACGTACCCAATAATCCTCCTATACCAACAGCAGCGTGGTATCCTCCAAAGTTGACTCCCAATTTACCATCCGTAAAGCTAATTAACTGCGGTGCCTGCAGAATAAAAGTTTTTTTTTTAATGGAAAATGTTTTAATTTTTAATATTATTAGCACAATGTTTAAAAACATTTCTTGTTTAATTTATTCAATCTTTAGAAGTTCTTTTGGATTATCTGAAAAATATCTAAATAATAATCGTAATTTATGTTTATTGCTTATTCCTTCCATTTTAAAAGAAGGCATCAACAATACGGAAGGTATTGTAATTAGATGTGCAATTAACCCTTAGCAATGAAAGATCTTACCGGAAGAGCCATTGTTTTAATGCATATCATCTATATTATCATTTTATTCAATTGTACTATAGAAGATTCTAACTCTGATACCAATGGTGTATTCTTTTAGCCCTAGAATCTTATAAGGCTCCAGTATCGAGTCAGTAGTGGCTAGAGCGTCAGGCCGCGAATGCCGAAGACGTGGGTTGAATTCCCACAGCGGCGACAATCTTTTCGTACTTTTTCTACATGTTTTAATGTTCAATCTTAAGTGCAGAGATTAGCACTATAAAAAACTTTAAAACTTATGGAGGCGGCTTGATCTACTTGCTTTTATTTTAGTACACGCATCTTGAATTATATCTTGTTGTCTACACATATTAAATTGTTTACGTGTAGATAAATAAAAGGATTTTTATTATATTGGTACGTATTTTAACACATCTTACTTAATATTGAATTGAATGATGAGGACGTACTCGTTACAATATTATGAAATGCATATAATATACTATAACGCTTTACTCTTTGCTTATAATTTAAAGGAAGTAAACCACTTCATGATCACTTTTTAATTATAAGGTCAAAATATATGACGGGCACTAAAACTATTTCCATTGTCTCATATAATTATTTTTAAATGTCAGCACTTGCTTCTATTCCTTTCATGTGCAATGTAAAATTTAATTTAATCATACTTATAATGATTAAAAATCAACTTTAATTTCAAAACATGCAAACTAAAAATAAATTAATATATAATAATAAAAGTAATATAATTACCGAATGCACCCCAGTCGCAAATACTGCAACTAGCACTGCTGCAAAAACACGCTTCATTTTTTCTGTAACATGTAAAGTTTATTCTTTTAGCTATGGTGTTAAAAAGTAGTAAGTGACACAACATAATCTTAAGTTGCTGTACTGCTAGAACTTAACCTTTTGTTGTACAGAGAAAAATAAATGACGACAAAATTATTGTCTCTTTCTCGGTTACAGTAAATACAGCGTGTACCAAACTATATGTACCTAAAAATATGTTGATATATTTCAAATTGATTTCTACATTATTTGATTATTGTTAATTGCATATTGAATCGCATAAATATATCTTGGGCACAGCAATTTACTTGATCCAAGTATAAACTTAACAACAACAGGCAAGAAACTGGCCCATTTACATGGTGCCAGTTTCTTGCCTGTTGTATACAATTAAATTGAAGCAATAAATGAGTCGCATGGTCTAAACAACAAATGGTCTAACCAATTATTGCGCGCAATTTATTGCATTCAATTATTGCTCTTGTATGTACAAGAAAATGGCATCGTGTAAATAGGCCTTTACTTTGCGTCAAACATCGCAATAACATCGTATAAACTAACTTTCACTTGCAATACTTGCATCATACCAGCGTGACTCATATAGTAAGTATTATTTGCGTTTTTCCATTGATAATGTTTTAGTTTTAAACAGTTGTAATTAAAATTAGTAAATGTAATAAATGTGTAGTTCCAATTATGTAGGTACTTATTACTTAACCACATCGAAAAAGCGTAACTCACTTTTTAATTTACACAAATTTAATTATAGTCATTAATTAAAAGGCACTTAATTAAATTAAAAATAATGATTAATTTTGTAATGTGCGATGTGTTGTTTAGTCCATAATAGGTACTAAGATTTCATAACTTGATACCCCTTGATATTACAGTTATGGTGATTGTAACATACACTAAAAATCACGTTATTCAGCGAGGAAATGCAGCTAGCGTTCTTGGCACCATGCCGCGTGGATTAGGTTTATTAGATAATATGTAATTTTAGATAGATTTAATCTTGTAAATATTAAATTGCCATTTTATAAAAAAAAAAAAAAGTTTGACAGCTGCGATATTGAAATTTGAATAGTAAAATATTACAAGGAAAACACGAACCAATTTGTGGACACGATGGAATGTGATATCAAAAATAACATTTTTATTGAAGGAGTTTATCTATAAATTTGACGTACCCGTATTTTTAGATAAGTTCTAATAGTTCCTTCCAAGTATAGTAATAAGTTATTTGTATGCGTCCCTGGGGTTTATGCTTAGCGGGAATGAATAATTAATGGATAAAACATTCCATAATGCCATTATACGAACCTACAAGACCACCTACGTCCTAGACAAGATTTTATTAAAAACAAACTACATATTTTCAAATAGGTTTTTGATTGTCGAATTTATACTTCTTACAAAATTTTATACTTTATTTTATACTATGCCTTCTTATTATGTGTGAATACGACTTCAGTGCTTAAATTCAATCTTTTTTCTTAATTCCGTTAACTCAAAATATACTTCTGTCTTTCTATCTTTTGTATTAAAGTATTTGTATTAAAATATTGTATAAAAGTTTTTGTATTAAATTACCTCTATCTTTTGTATTAACTGCATTTAAGAGAAAATTCCGAAAACTAAATATTGTACATAAAATGTCCAGGTAGACATTTTTTACTCCTTCATATATTTTTATTTATTAGGAATAACTACACTGTATGTTCATTAATATCATTGCTATTTAGTATCTTGATGCCCTTATTACATTTATATTGTCATATGACAATCACAAAAAAGTGAAAATAAAACCACTTCAGTAACTCAACAAATTTTTTTTTTCTTAAACGCGATTATTAATAAGTATTAAAATAGACATTTTCATTTAAAGTTCATTCAATGTATTATTCCACACCACCACTATACAACACAATACAGGATGTGCAGTTGAATAGCTGTTATATCAATTTTAAAAAAAATTCGTCCGAGAAGTCAAACGGAAATCGAACATTTCAACTAATGGAAGAGATCCGTCAATAATTATATGAACTACACAACAAATACGATGCAATACTCACAAAAAACTATTTGCCTTTAATATTGTATTAAAACAGAAAAAATATCAGCTGGTTTTATTAAAATCGATACTTACGATAGTTGAACTTATTGTTGGCTTGTTATCACAACAGTTAAAATAAGGTCATAAATTACTATCACGTCCGAAGTCAACAATTGAACCGTTAAAATTTCGTCAAAATAAACTCGTTACAAAGATATCGTTATGTTTATGCCTTGCTTACTGCATCCACCACTGCGTGCGCCGTTGAAGGCTTTGCGGAAAAAACTACATCACTGGCCACGCCATTCTCTTGTTTTGTTCATTCGCCTCACATAGGGGGGACCGGTTTTCTGTCGGGTATAATAGCACATAAGCCTAAATCGCTTTAAGAACAGAATAATTAACGCAATATTATGAGGGAAATACAGAATAAGACTTTAGGGCGGAAATTTATGAATGTTCACTTCTTTCAATAAAACTTATACTACGAAAATATGATTACAAATAGAGATTAGAATCAATAAATCAGTCATCTGGACTGAATTAAAATGTTTATTTTAAATATTATACTTAGGTTATTACTATTCTGACCGGCTGTAATGACAGCACCGATTTATTACCATACAACGTCAATAGTGCGGCGTTTTATAACTCTGAATGTGTTCAAAGAGACGGGGCAGATGCACTAGTTCTCGCTATCGATGTTAACGACTTAATAATGCGAAAATTAAAATCGGACTGCATACCTTGACTTGCAACGCATTCAAATTATAACCACTATCTATAAATAATACCTCCCATGCGACGTGGACTTATATTGGTACACCTAGGAAAGCTTAACACGTTTAGCAAATAAAAAACGTGCTTTTTCGTCAACGTCAAACATATTTTACACCAATCTGATATTTTAACCTTACACTTATATCCTAATTCTTTTACCTATGTATATTTGTAATTCTGGAATATAGAACAGACAGACAAGTGCGATTATATCATACTTAAAAAGACCATGTAGCTGAACCTCCCCTTGTGTTTTAAATTTGATAGAATTTAAATAGTGTTTTTTTTTTTAAAGAATTTGCCTGCCCTAGATATCCCTAAAAACCCACATGACTGGTAAATACGTCATAAACAGTGGCGTAACAAAATCTATTCGGCTTATGAAGGTATATTTTGACAAATTGATAACATTTTGAAGTCTTGCGAAAACACTAGTGACTTCATTTGTATTCAGTATAAAAACTTTGAAGGCGAAAAAAATTTAAGATGTGCCTTCTATCGCCGTGTTAGTGTATAATCCCTTTATCAAGAATTTCGTCATAATAGAGAACACACTTTTACGTTTATCCATGCAGCGTGCTCTGTTTATTATAATCTATATCTTCTCTAGACATATTTATCAATTAAATTTTAATGTTGGAAAATCCAAACTTCACAAGTAAATAACATTTTCTTTCCATTGACTCTTACCCTTTATCTCACCTTGAAACTATTTGTATACTTAAGAAATAATAGAGTTTAACAGGTTCGGAGAACATGAAGGTACGGACCGTGTATGGTATAAACAATGTTTACATATTTTGTAACGTAATTGTCTTTTTTATGTTATCTGCTCTAGTTTCTATGGGAATATAAATTGCTATATATAATACTAATAACAAACTGCATCTTAGACAAACAGGTTTTAATGTAATGAAATAAAATTGTAACAACATTTATTTTCAATTTAAAACATATTTGTTGTATTTCAAAATAAAACTTAATTTGTATTAAAATGTTAAAGCGAATTTTTGGTTGTAAATTAATTGTATTAATTTAAAAAGAAAACTATCGAGTTTGTTACAATACAACTTTCTAGATTAAACAAAAGTGGTTGTGTTAAGTTGCTAACTTATGATGCGGTTGTGATATTTTTGGTTGCGTTTATGGTTAGATTGTTTGATTCCATTTTCAATGTATATGACTAAGTAATTTTATGGAATGACTCAGTGGAGCAATTTTTAAGCTATTGGCTTCGGCACCGAGAGTCGTGAGTTCGATTCCCAAACCGGACAAAGTATTTGTGTGACCCACAGTAAATTTTTCCGAATCTGGGTGTTTGTTCCTAAGTTGGAGGGTTGACGTCCGGCCCGGCGTAAAAACCTAGTCAACACCACTCATATTATGACTCACATGTTATGCCAACCCTACTTAGGTGGGATAACCCCAGGAGGATGTTGTTGATAAATTTTAGGGTTCCGTATCCAAATGATAAAACGGGACCCTATTACTAAGACTCATCATTCTGTCCGTCCGTTTGTCACCAGGCTGTGTCTCATAAACCGTGATAGTTAGACGGTTGAAATTTTCACATATGGTGTATTTCTTTTTCCGATATAATAAAAATATAGTAAAAAAACACAATGAAAACTAGTCAAGTGGGGCTCCAATACAACATACGTGATTTTTTTGCAGTTTTATAAATAATGGTACAGAACTCTTCGTGAGCGAGCCCGACTCGCACTTTTTTTTATGGGATGCAAACGAGACAAACGAGACATACTGGAAACCCTGGAGAACCAACAAACTGTACTGTAGGATTTTGGGCCAGAGATACGATCTAAATCATATCGGTCCAGAAACTCTGCTGGCGAAAACTAATTCCACAAAACGGTTTTTTTGTGGCAGAAATATGTGAAGACACAGTGGTGAACTGTCAACCATCAAGGTGGTTTTGATGGTGTTTGGTGATTTGTAGATTTGAAATTCTGTAGCAGGTATTAATCCGAACGATTCTTCAGTGCACTGCTGTTATAAATGCGATAGATAATGTAAAAATATGCAATATATGTTTATAAGTCCAAACGGTCGCGGAGATTGGAGAGGACTTGGTTCATCGATTCAAGCAGATCTACGTTAGATGCAAATAAATTAAAGGAACTCGGTGTTACCAGAATTGCAAAGTACGGTGAATCTGCGCTTTATAAGCGATGGGTCAGCAAAAACGTAAATAAATTCAAATGTGGTATATTTGTGAACGAGTCGATTGAAAATCAACAACAATCAAATATCCTTTTAAAGTCGATTGAGTAAAAGTATTTACATAATACAACATCGCTTCACGTCTTTCTAGTTTCACTTATTTTTGCAACAACTAACTTAAGTGACAAAGGAAGAGCTGTTCTAGCATACGATTTAATATTGAATGATTATACATATTTTCACATTGAATGAGGTAGCTGGGGCACACTTTATTAAAAGGTGGCAACGCATCTGCATCCTTATGGGTGTTGGAAATGTCCATGGGTGGAGGTCATCACTTAACATGAGGTGGACCGCCAGCTCGCTTGCCACCTTCTCACATAAAGAAAAATTCTAACTTTTTCTTCTAAAATTTCTTCTTTGTAACTATTATAAAGCATTTCGTTCAATAACTATCAGTTTTAAAATAGTTTTTCAAGAGTTTAATAATATTTTGAAAGTCACGGATTCAATATTATTTTAAATCACGTCAAATTTCGTATTTGCCTAAAAGTAATGTTATCATATTTGGCTTTGCACAATAGACTACTCAATTTATATATAATCCGAACGAGCACAAAAAAAAAACACTACTACGTCAATGGGTAACGTGTAATGACCAGTTTTTGCTCGACAGCGTGAACTTGAATTGAGCAATTGTAAAATGGCAATGGAAAACTTTTGTCTTCATATTTATTTCGTATGTTTCAAATGAAATATATAATATGTAAATAAATTTTCTGCTTTACGTGTTTAATCCTGTCTCACATTTATTCCTGGTAAACAACGAAATTTCATGCTTGGGCTTAATTATATGAGGTTAAAAAATGCTTAAATTGTACGAGTAGATATCCTTGTTATTATATATGCTTAAAATATTTGATTGGTAGAATGTTATTTAATTATTATTATGTAATTACCATTTTTAAGGGAATGTATGCGACAACGTTGACCATGAACGAGCAGGAAATATTTCTTCAAGTTCTGATAAACATACAACAAAATTTTTTAAATGTCTAAGTTAAAGTTCCTTGAAATATTTTATTACGTTTCTGGAGAAAGTTACCTTTGACAGTTTATGAGTAATCGATTCAGAAACCAATAGCTATTAATGATCATCATCATTTTCGACTGGCACGATCCTGAGCCACGAGTATCCATCGACTTCCCCCACATTTTGACAGGAAGTACTTCATACTGTGGGAATTCTAAATAAAAAATACAAAAAATCATTATTTTAAGAATAACAATAGCGATAAATATATACATTTATTGAAATAAAGATTTAAAATAATCTCAATTTATCTCTCTTAAATCGTTCTGTTGTTCAGCTTATAATAATATATTTTTGCTAAATTGTACATATATTTCGAATTCCGCTAAACGGTGAAAGACCACACTGATTGCCTATACGCGCATAGACGTGCTTACATCATGATTAACGAACGTGGCAGACAAATATATGTACCAAATATTTGCGTACACCAGTGGCCCGAATTGCTTATCAACCCACATAGCATGCTGCAAAAAACTTATTAACATTTTATGGATTTTTCAACATTCTAGTTTTCAAACAAATAAGTTGGTATGCTGACGTATAAATGCTTTAAGTTTTTTAAATATTATTTCCCTTAATATTTTTTTGCAGAGTGACTCAAGTTTAAGATATGTTTCTATAAAAACTGGCAACAAAAACTGCAAACATATTGCCAAACTGAAACTACATGGTGCCATTTTTAAATTTTTTTTTTTCATGATTATTAGGCACGATTAAACAGGTGTCGATCACGCGCCATGTTATGATACAAAGCGGATATGAGTGTTGTGCTGAAGGTTATAGCTACTGAATGTTTTAATTTTACGAATACGAAAATTTTATATATTTCGAGGGCAATTTAACCTCCTTTAAGTAAACTATAAGAATTAAGCAAAGTTTGAGGTAATAATAAAATATGAATTCCTAATTACTTGACTCTTTTTTTTGTTGTTTTTAGTTTTTTTTCATCCGGATTCAATAAAACGTCACCATGACGTGATCAACGCTTATTAAGTCCCGTATGCATTAATATAAGAAAGTCCACAAAATTGGAATGCTTTAAATCCGTTAATTTGCTATATTTATCGATTAAATTTTCGATAAATAATAAAAAAAAACATCACGGTAACTTTAAAACAAATGTATTTTCCATACTTCCTTATAAACGAATAATGACAAAATATTTATATTCTCGAAATAACTCAATTATTACCGAAGAATTTGTTTACAACATTTTCCTTATATTTTCATTATTTCATTGGAAACTTTGCAACACAAAATTATAAAGGCTTGCGTTATACGGTGCAACGAACCCAAACTACGCTTCAATGCCCTCACATTATACATCAGGGACAACGAAACGCAAATTCTTCCACATAAATAGAAACGACAACAGCTTTAAAGCCGTGTTTTTATATTGCCATCTTTAATAGATCGGTTGTTAATTTGCTCTCCATTCTATTGGTTAAGACGTACTTGCTGTATTAAGGTAAAATAAAACATAATTGCATAAAGCCAAGAAAACTGAATTAAAATTGTATCGATTATACTTTATTTTTAGATTGCTGGTTTTACTAATATACCCTTTATAACCCATTACAGCAGTTGTTAAAATAATATACGTATTATGTATTTCAGAATGTTCAATTAAATCTTAAAAAAAAGATGCCTACTAAAAAGCAGACGCACACACTATATTTGATACGCTGTAATAAAATTTTTAAATTAATCAGCTATACTTTTTTTATGTGAAAAGTTGACCAAC